AGCTACTCAAGAGGCTGAAGCATAAGAATCACTTGGGCCCAGGCAGCAGAGGATGCAGTGAGCCCCCAGCCTGGGTAACAGAGCAAGACTCTGCCTCAAAAAACAAAACAAAACAAAAAACCAAGTAATAGAGGAAAACTGTTACACCATGGGGATTCAAAGCAAAATTTCCTGAGGAAGTGATGGTTAAGCTGAGATCTGAATGGAGGCCATTCGTATTTATATAAAAACAGAGATCCATAAAATGAGGAGAGAGGATTGGTCCAATAAGCCCAGCTACCTTACCTTTGGCATCTTTTATCCTATATCCTAAAAACAACCTTTTTTTTTTTTTTTTTTTGGTTTGAGACAAAGAGTCTAGCTCTGTCGCCCAGGCTGGAGTACAGTGGTATGATCTCGGCTCACTGCAACCTCCACCTCCCAGGTTCAAGCGATTTTCCCGCCTTGGCCTCCCGAGTAGCTGGGACTATAGGTGAGCACCACCACGCCCAGCTAATTTTGTATTTTTAGTAGAGACGGGGTTTTACCATGTTGGCCAGGCTGGTCTCAAACTCCTGATCTCAAGTGACCTACCCGCCTCGGCCTCCCAAAGTGCTGAGATTACAGGTGTGAGCCACGGCGTGCAGCCCCGCTCCCCCTTTTTGTTGTTTTAAAAACAGGGTCTCATTCTGTTGCCCAGGTTGGGGTGCAGTGGCACAATTATAGCTCACTGTAACCTTAACTCTTGGGCTCAAGAGCCCTCCTCAGCTTCCCAAGTAGCTGTGACTACAGGGACATACCACCATGCCCAGCTAATTTTTTTTTTTTTTTTTTTTTGTAGACACAGGGTATTGATATGTTATCCAGGCTGGTCTCAAACTTCTGGGCTCAAGCGATCCTCCCACCTCAGCCTCCCAAAGTGCTGGGATTACAGGCGTGAGCCACTGCACCAGACCACAACCTCTTTTTTAAAAAAAAGAAGAACAAAGTATGTAATAAAGATGTCTGAAAGCTAGTAATTGAAAGTCTTTTGGGGAGAGGGACAGGGTCTTATTTAGCTCTGAATACCTCACATCACCTTGCCTAGTATCGTTACTATCACAGTAGTCACTCAAATCTGGTGAAATGATTAGTGTCAGTATGAAATCAATGTTAATACTGTCTTTAGTTAAATAAATTTGCCAAACTACATCTCCTCACATAAGAAACCCCATTTTAAACTTCCTCAATTGTGAAAAGATGTTTTAATCTACCTCAAGAATTTAATAAAATAATACATGGCAAAATGCCGGGGTAATTTCTATAAGTTCTTGGAATATATGATGATATCCCTGTGATCAAAAAGCCGGATCAGTCTCTTCTAAGATAATTTAGACTCAGCTGTGCTTCATTTTCCTTACTATGAGAAAAAATTCTAACAGGTTTGCATCCCCTCTCTGGCCTCGGTTCTCTGACGAGGGTGAAATAACAAACTCTAAAGTTCCTTCTAACTCCAGACACCTGTAAACCTTTTAAAAGGCTCAAGATTGCAATTCCTTAGCCTGAATGTTAGACTACTTCCTCACCTACTCCATTTCCCCAGGACCCCATGTTTTTTCTCAGGAAAGGTAGCACGTAATTCATGATTTAAGTTCTTTAAAACACCTATTTTCTACTCATTTTACACGCAGACTTAAGTTGAATTTATACATCTAAATTAGATCTTCTGAATAATCCAAATAATTATTGTAGGCCGGGCGCGGTGGCTCAAGCCTGTAATCCCAGCACTTTGGGAGGCCGAGACGGGCGGATCACGAAGTCAGGAAATCGAGACCATCCTGGCTAACACGGTGAAACCCCGTCTCTACTAAAAAATACAAAAAACTAGCCGGGCGAGGTGGCGGGCGCCTGTAGTCCCAGCTACTCGGGAGGCTGAGGCAGGAGAATGGCGTAAACCCGAAAGGCGGAGCTTGCAGTGAGCTGAGATCCGGCCACTGCACTCCAGTCTGGGCGACAGAGCGAGACTCCGTCTCAAAAAATAATAATAATAATAATTATTATTATTATTGTAAAATTGTACACCCCTCAAAGGACAAAAAAAAAAATAGTCAAAACAGCCAACCTGGAGGGGCGCGGTGACTCAAGCCTGTAATCCCAGCACTTTGGGAGGCCGAGACGGGCGGATCACGAGGTCAGGAGATCGAGACCATCCTGGCTAACACGGTGAAACCCCGTCTCTACTAAAAAATACAAAAAACTAGCCGGGCGAGGTGGCGGGCGCCTGTAGTCCCAGCTACTCGGGAGGCTGAGGCAGGAGAATGGCGTAAACCCAGGAGGCGGAGCTTGCAGTGAGCTGAGATCCTGCCACTGCACTCCACCCTGGGCGACAGAGCGAGACTCCATCTCAAAAAAAAAACAAAAAACAAAAAAACAGCCAACTGTGCTCTGGGTGTGGTGGGTCACATCTATAACCTCAGCACTTTAGCAGGCTGAGGTGGGAGGATCGCTTGAGGCCAGGAGTTCAAGACCAGCCTGGGCAACACGGCAAGACCTCCATCTCTAAAAAACATTTTTTTGTTTTTAATTAGCCAGGCATGGTGGTGCACACCTGTAGTTCCAGCCACTAGGAAGGCTGAAGTGAGAAGATCATCTGAGCCCAGGAGTTTGAGGCTATAGTGAACTATAAGCATGCCACCGCACTCCAGCCTAGGCAACAGAATGAGATCCTGTCTCTAAAAACAAAAATAAAAACATGTTTAATGGCCATCGGTCAAAAATAGGTTTATAACTACTAACTCTAAAGAGTAAATCTTGGTTTTCCAATTAAGGAAAATTTATTTCCTATATTTTAAATCAGAAAATAGCCACAAAAAAATCACTTACACTCAGAAATAACAATAAATGCAAACTCATTAATGGAAAAAAAATTTTAAGTTACAATTAAAAGAGAGCAGAAACATCTGCAACATAATGCAAATGTATCTATGATACTACCACATGAAAATGAAATTTTACCCAAAAAAACGTTAAAACACTCAAATTATGCAGGTAAGGGCAATTCACGTATTTCAGATTTATCTTGTTTAAAATAATTTTTTGGTGTAGTTTTAAAAGCCTTGCCTCCTTTTACCCTTCAGGGAATAGCGTCCCACTAAAAGAGAACACTATCGTAACGATACTTTCAGGCAAGAAACTTGTCTTTATGATGTAAACCAGGGCTACCAGATCCAGATAAGGTTTGCCATTAGGATGCTTCAGAAGTAATAACCTTCAAAGAAAAAAAATTTTAAAGTAATTCCTGCATTAATAATTGCTAATTAGTGAATTTAGTTTTTAAGCACATTGTATTTTTATATAAATTTTTAAAACTTAAAATTCTAAACTTAATTTCCAGAGACAAAATAAATCCTTTCACTCTGAATATCAACGTCAAGACGGCAGCTTCTTATTTGACAGTTACTCTTAGTATTTCTTTAACTATATTTTACATCTACTGAGTGTTTCAGAGCCTTAAAATTCATTACGATTATTATATTATTAGTTACAATGTGCACTGTAACATTCCCTTTTTAAAGAGGTGCAAATAGAAGTTAAATAACTTATCCAAGGTCACCCAACAAGTCAGTGACAAAGTTGGGAGTAGGAGTAAAACTTCAGCCCCTAGACTGAAGACTACTTCAAGCGTTTGCAATTCCAAAAGAGGAAAAAAAAAAAAAAAAAAAAAGGTCAAGCGATTTACCCTCAATAACTTCCAATAGTATACTCTAAATACAGTGGTACACTTATTATCATAAACACTAATAAAAAAGATTCACAGTGAATGAAAGAAACAACTTTGCTACATTTAGATACCACTGTCATTTCCCTAGCTCTTGTAACAAGCGAAAATCCTGCACTGGATCTGGCTATATGAAATCCTAGGGAATGTTCACTCTTCAATATGAACAATTTATTTTCATGCTAACATGCATTTGCGAATTAATCTTTTATCACCTTGTCCTATTTGGAGGTGCTGTGGGATGCATTTATTTCCTCACTCTTCCATAACATCAAGTCAAAGACTACAATCTCAAAACTAAGCAATTCTCAGTGAAAACATAGTTACATAGCCAATGAAAGAAAAGCTCTAATAAATGGCTGCTTTTAAAGAGATACTTTTAAAGGATGCTTATATGCTTCAGAGAATTACTGGTAACTCGCCCGCCAAGAAGGATGGTCCCTTTAAAGTAGCCTTTAAGGCATTATCCCTCCCCGTTTGGGACACAGTCTGACTTGTTGGACAAGACTAATCTGGGCACTCTCACACACAACCCCTCTGAACCAGCTTAGTTCACTGCAAACATCATTTCAACTGTAGTACTCAGCCCTTCGCATACTACAAGGGACAAGATGACTCTCCTTAACAGTCTTTCAGAACGTCCCCTCGGCGGACACTGACAGCCGACCTCCCGCGGATGTTTTTGGAAATAGAAATGTTAACACCAGGAGAGGCTCCTAGGAAGTGTCAGTGCGGCAGCAGGTGGAGTAGCCCTGCGTGCCGAGCAGGTTCTTTCTGACCTAGTCTCAGTCCTCCGCTTCCCGGCCCCAGTTCCGCCTTACAGAGATCTTGTTAAGCCGTCTTGCGCCCCTGTTCTCTAACCCAGGGCGAGACTTCCAACCCTCCAGGGAGGCGAGGCAATCGAAGCAGACAAGACGGCCACCCCACCTCTTCCGGGGACTCGCAGGCCCGCTCCCTGGCCATGTCAGAGCCTGATGGACCAGGCTGGAGGGGACGCAGCCGGCTCCCCTGGGAGCCTCCCAGCCAGAACCCCGCGTCCCACGGTCCCTTTCCACAGCCCCCACCCCTTCGAAACGCCACCGCCACCACCCTCCTTACTCCTGAATCCCCTCTCCTCAGGAGTACCCCAGTGGAGGGAGTTACCGGCCCACTCAAAAGTAAGAGCGACGGCCACCCCTCTCGGTCACCCTGGCCCCACTGTCACCGCCCTGCTCCCGCCTCTACCTACGCCGCTGGCTGACCCCGGTGACGCCCGGGTCGGTACCTTGCGGACCCCCTTGTAGATATAGAAGTAGAGCTCCCGGCCCACATTGAAGCAGAGGCGGTCGCCGTTGCCAGACTGGTCGTTGAGGTTTACGAAGGAGACGCGGACAGGGTTGGATCCCTGCGAGTTGAAGGGCACCCGGTTGGGCCGGCTGTACTCCGAGTGTGGCAGCAGCTTGTACAGACCTTCCCGGGTGGTGAATTGGGTCTTAATCTCGTTCATCTCCTTCCCTCCTCCCTCCGTCGCCATCTTGGAAAGCAGCGTTCATCCTGCCCTAAGTGCCCGGATCACGCCCACCGCGCAGGCGCTGTTCTCGGTGCTCCCTCTTCCCCCACCCCTTGCCTTTTCCTTGTCGCCCCTCCCACCCGCGGGCCAGCCCCGCGAAGGCGGGCCGAAGGGAAGGGGCGGGCTTGTTTACGGCCCGACTGCGCAGGCGTGCTCACCTGGCGTGCTCCACCCGGCTGGGCGTCCGCAGGCTCCTCCCCCGGGCGTGGCCTCCGGGCGGCTCGGCTGCTTCCCAGGTGATGTCGGTTCCAGCCGGTGGGGTCTAGTTGACGGTTCCGCAGCCACTAGGACCAATGGAAAGCCGATCAGGGGGAACCGCGGCGGGGCTGGTGTCAGGAGCCTGAGGTGAACTTGAGGGTGCTTCCTCAGCGGTCTCCCCCCTGCCCTGAGGGGCGCCGGGACCCCAAAGAGCGGAGGAAGAGCGCCACCCCGACTGCCACCGCTTCGGGGCCAGCACGCGGGGTACCCTACAGGGAGCGCGGATGCCCCTGTGTTCGGGCGGGGACGGCTCCACCCCTCCTGGGCCCTCCCTTTGGGACGGGGACTGTCCCGCCCAGAGAGAGTGCTGACTACCCGCCCGACCGTCTTGATCCCCGGTCAGGAAGCAAGCCCCTTGGAAGCCTCCTCGCCGCCGTTTCTGAGAAGGTACCGAAGGACTCAAGATTTACGCTTCACTATGTTTTATTTCAGGCCGGGTAGGGGGAGAGAAGAATGTGGTACAGCATGAATATCCTAATTCCTATGTGTGGTGAGCACTGGCGGCCTCCGCTTCTTAGCGGAGGTTTGTCCTTTCCAACTGTTCAGAGACACGCGGCGGGGAAGCGCTCTGGGAACCGGGGACTGAATCTATGCAGGATTCACTTCTCTTGCTCAGTAGTTTACGAAGAGCTCTTAATAAAATTTAAGGTAATTGGTTTTTTTTTCCAGAAGCCTCAGGTGGAGTCAGTGAGATTATTTACTAGGAGATCCATAGGGATAGTTGTATGCATGTAATGTACAGGGTCTAGATTTGTAAGAACGGGCACACGTGTCAAAGTAAGATTAAACAATCACTATTTTATACCTGGGTTTCTTGGCATGTTGCACCAGAATAGGAAAGTTTCTAAAGTGACAGAAACATTCTAATAGAATTCCAGGGAGGAGGGAAGCCAACATCTGTAACACCAAGAATCAACTATTCCTGAAAGTTCAGATTATATGTTGAGGGACACAAAAGAAGTGAATGGAGGGAATTTCTAAAGTAGGAGGAATCTAAATCATAAACATCTTCTGTATTATAAAGCAATACCAATAGAAACTGTGCCAATGATGTAATAATACATTTCCATTGTGTTGGAAAAAAAAGAAAAAAAAAGCACTGAAGTCCTACTTAATTAATAGAGCCTTAGAAATGCTTAAAATTTTTTCTTAGAATTGTTTCGATGTTATCCGACTTTCCCTAAAAGTCAAATCGAGATCGGAAATCTTAATACACCAAGGTATGTTCTGTGGTTCCCATGGCTAGATCCCAAACTCCGTAACTGTGCTATTTTACATTGAAAACACATATTTTACAATAATCAACCTGAAGGATAGTGACATCTTGAATCTTCTAAAAATAATTTATCTGTATTTCCTAATTATCAAGAGGAAAAAAGTGTAATAATATTTTGGGGGGAAAAGGCCAGGCACAGTGGCTCACGCCTGTAATCCCAGCACTTTGGGAGGCCGAGGTCAGGAGATCAAGACCATCCTGGCTAACATGGTGAAACCCCGTCTCTACTAAAAACACAAAAAAATTAGCCGGGCATGGTGGCAGGGGCCTGTAGTCCCAGCTACTCAGGAGGCAGAGGCAGTAGAATGGCGTGAACCCGGGAGGTGGAGCTTGCAGTGAGCCGAGATCGCTCCACTGCACTCCAGCCTGGGCAACAGAGCCAGACTCTGTCTCAAAATATATATATATGTGTATATATATATGGGGGAAAAAAACCCAGTAAGCAAAAGTTAAAACAAAATTTTGTATTATTCCTTAATTAACCACAACATTCTATTTCCCATAATACCTATGTAATCTAAGCATTCTATCAAGATTTACCGTATATAAATTCAACATTTTATTATAATCACAGTAATAGACTATTCACTTTGTCTCATGCATAGCCTTTGGTTTTTTTTTTCTTTTTTTTTGGACGGAGCCTTGCTCTGTTACCAGGCTGGAGTGCAGTGATGTGATCTCAGCTCACTGCAACCTCTGCCTCCCAGGTTCAAGTGATCCTCCTGCTTCAGCCTCCCAAGTAGCTCAGACTACAGATGTGCACCACCATGCCCAACTAATTTTTGTGTTTTTGGTAGAGATGAGGTTTCACCATGTTGACCAGGATAGTCTTGATCTCTTGACCTTGTGATCTGCCCTCCTTGGCCTCCCAAAGTGCTGGGATTACAGGCATGAGCCACTGTACCCGACCCCACGCATAGCCTTTGAATAATCTCTGTTTTTATTCTTTTTCTCTCGTAGCTTTCTTCCCCCATATTCAAAGATTCAATAAGTAACACCCAAAACTAAATAACTAGGCCTGAATGGCCAGGCATGTTGGCTCATGCCTGTAATCCCAGCACTTTGGGAGGCCGAGGCGGGCGGATCACGAGGTCAGGAGTATGAGATCACCTGGCCAACATGATGAAACCCCATCTCTACTAAAAATACAAAAATTAGCCAGGCGTGGTGACACATGTCTGTAATCCGAGCTGCTCGGGAGGCTGAGGCAAGAGAATTGCTTGAACCCGGGAGGTGGAGGTTGCAATGAGCCGAGATCTCACCACTGCACTCCAGCCTGGGCGACAGAACGAGACTCCATCTCGGGAAATAAATAAATAAGTAGATAAATAAATCAATGGGCCTGACCTAATTTTATTTCTGATTTTCAATTTCAAACCGGGAATTTATTTTTATTTTTATTTTTTTGTGGTAGAGTCTCACTCTGTTGCCCAGGCTTCAGTGCAGTGGCACAGTCTCAGCTCACTTCTCCACCTCCCAGGTTCAAGCGATTCTCCTGCCCCAGCCTCCCAAGTAGCTGGGATTACAGGCGCATGCCACCACACCCAGCTAATTTTTGTGTTTTTAGTAGAAACAGAGTTTCACCATGTTGGCCAGGCTGGTCTCAAACTCCTGACCTCAGGTGATCCGCCCACC